CTCACAACCTGAAAGTTTACAATTCTAAAGACGTTTTCGACAGCGTTTGGCTGTAGTCTTGTTTCTCAGCTTCCCGCCTTGTTATACATTTTGTAAGTGGTAAGTCTTTATCGTTAAGTGGGTTCTTATAAATCCCATGGGTCTTCAGCTTTCAGTCCCCGTGACTGAAAAACCGACTGTTGGTATGCGGACTTCTCTTTGAGGGACCGACTTTTTTCTAACGACACTAGGTTGTTTCTTATTCATGACTTATACGCGTCCATTAGCTTTCACCAGAATAGCAATTATAGCCACGTTACACACACCATGAAATCCTAGATGAATATGGGTGACCCTCATGGTCAGGTCACTTTTTTTTCTAGAAACAGAACTAACCATACGGTTAGGTTTTCTAGGATTTCCTGACAGCTGCCACTTGGAGGGCTGGGAATAGAATTGAAGAGGCTTATTCCTTTCTATTTGACCCCAATATATATCACTCGATTAAGTGGGTACTTTAGCAGGCCGATTGCTTTGGTAGTACTATGAATTTACTCGAGAATATTTAAAAGTTAAAACACCAGTTGTTAGGATGGTATATTGTTAATAATTAACAAAATTCACAAGCACCAAAAAGACAAGCACACCGGAAGGCGGGAGTAAAAGGTCGAAAATCCATGTGTATTTTGTAAGTGTTAATCAATTGTGGGTGAATTGTTAACTACCTTCGTTAACAATCAGTGGGAGGAAAGACAAACAATAAGGTGCAAACTCACACGTACTTTTAAATTGTGAGCTAATTGTCTAGATTATAACAGTCGGGTAATAAAAATTCAAACGGGCTTTCCATAGAAGAAACCTATCTTGAGTTTTATTCCTAGCAGATTTGTCTGAAGTCGGTCCTTCCTCCTTCGGTCCATGTGAGCTAATCAATTCTGAGCTTATTTGAGATAATTTCACATCGATTCGTGTATCAACAGAGCATTTGATCAATCTCGATTGCGCTTGCTAATACACCTTATAGTATCGTTTACGATAGCAATGAGTTGACCACACTTTACGATATAAATGATTTCAATACCTGGAACTGTGTGAGTGCAAACAAATTAACTGCTTCATACAAGCTCATCGGGAAAACATTCCATATTGAGGGAGCAGTGGTACTATTCTTCACTGAGTAAATCTTTTAGTTTAGCTTGTGTCCCTAGATGTAAAGGCTTTTTTAAATTTATTGGTTAGATTTTAAGTTACGTAACATAAAAGCCCCAGCCTTTTGTGATTATTATCTATCGCTTTAAGAGGCTTATAAATAAATTTTCCAGAAAACTCTTTTGCTTATTCTTTCCTCATACCCTGAGAAATCGTTTGTGTTGTCCTTTCTGAGAGCCCACTTGGCAATTTTAATGAAGTTGAAAAACATCTTTGTAGTGAACTCACATGGTATCACAACGTGCGCCCCGGATTCACATAAAAAGTGTGGCAAGCCACTATCAGACCGTCTGTGAAAATCATACTTCTCTTCAAAGTAACTGCTGATTCTTGAGGCGAAAGATGCCCTCAGGCAGAAAGCCAGCAAGTGATCAGCAGTTTTCAGTTTTTGAAGAAGTGGCGAGCGTTATCATGACTCCTGCTCTAGATTTAAATGAAGCCACCAAGGTGGGCCCCATAACGTAACGGACGAGAAACATACAGATGTAGACATGGTTACAAGAAGAAAGAAAAAGCACGCTGAATAGAAGCAAAATGTGGGAAGCTGTAAGATATGTGAGTCAGTGTTTCAAGTTCCGGACAAACATGTCAAGCCAAAAAAAGACTATGGAGAAGCAAAGTCTAAGGGGTTTGGATTAACTGAGCAAGAGACAAAATGTGCACAATGATTGGCTTATAGTAGCACCTAGGAAACTAAGTAAACAGAGCGAGGCATGCATTTGTGATGTGAAATCGAACTACTGGAATGAGAAGGGTTTAGGAAGCAAAAGCCCATGGCTTGTTGAAATGAATCAGTCATTTTTCTTAGGGGAGTCTTCTGAAAAGGAACCAAAGGCTAGATTTTAACGCGACCGAAATCCTAATAAATCCCAAATAAGCAAGCTACCTTCGAAAACAGTAGCCATAGGGCTCGTTCATAAGGATAGAAAGTAGATCCTGCAAATACTCAGGAAAACCACCACCTAACACATACTTTCAATTCTGTTGAAGAAAGAAAATCCGGACAAACTAATTGGATTTGGAATATTTATCGGTGTGGATTTCGGCCTGGTTGGCTGTAAAAAGAGACAATCAGCAGAGACAAAAATAGACGGGCGTCTCAAAAACAGCTAAAATTACCTTATACTTGTAAAATTTTGGGGCTAAACGATCCTCAAACCACTATGGGTGGCCGGGAAAGCTCTTCACAGAATTAAAGGTACACTACACAAATGCTCAGGAATGTGGTGAGCACAGAAAATCTTGATGCTATTGCCTCCTCAGAGATATGTTTAACGTCAGAAGTGTATGATTGTAAACTTCGGTCGCTTGGTTTCTTACTTTCTGTGGCTGACTAACTTAACCGTAAAGGTTGTTGGGCTTGTCCTGTGCGCGAAAAGTATCTTAACCCTGCGAGCTATCGAGACAGTGGCATACGACTCTGGGACATATGAACTGGTGTACTGTCGGCTGAAGTATAAAAGGGCAACAGATTGAATTAGTTACAGTGCGCCGCGGTCCAAAATGTATGGCATATAACTCCCTCGTAAATAAGTATAAATCTTGGTGACTTTAATAAACCCTCTGCAAGTCTGGGAAACTTTGGGGTGGGGTCATCAACAGCATCGTTTGATTAAAAATAGTTAGAAACTTCAGTCGCCCTGGCTTTATACCAGCATATTAGAGATCCCACCAGATATGACCTATAACATTCGTTTCCTTCAAACTTAGTTTTCACTCACGGTGGTGATGTCAGTCAAATAACTTTCTTCCCACTTTGAGGGAAAAGTGATCATGCGGTCATCTCATTCAAGTTCATAACTGAGATAGCCTCCCAGGCAGTTGCATTGGTCCATCCTAACAGGTTTGAGGAAACAAAGGTGATCGGTTGAAAACTGGATAATTCACTCAAGGGTCTCGGTAGAAAAGACATGAACTCATTTCCGCCAGTTGTAGAGCCAAGTAACGCAACCATTTATACCCTGAACAGTCCCGAAGAGAAGTTCGGCCAACCCTACATAAAGGGCGATATTCGACATTTTCTAATAAAAAAGTGAAATGTTAGCAAAACCGACATCAGCCTTGGCACAGCCAGTACGATGGAACGTTACAGGTCGATACGAAATAAGTACATAACTACAGCTTTGGGAAAATAATAAATGTAGTTGTCTCAATAAGTAATCAAACAGTCTTAGAGACTATCCTCGTACATAAATTGCAAAACAACGATGCAGCATTGGATTCGTAACCCAACCAAGGGAGGATGAGCAAAACAAAACAGAGTTTACGGCAAACTATTTCGAGACAATTTACACTAAGGAGCCTGTTCAAGACGACGTACTAGATCAAAAAAAGTGAACTTCGATCGAGACGATCTAGTCAAAACTCTTAGGACATAAAACACTGAAAAATCAATTGAGACAGACTAACTACACCCTAAAACACTGAGACAATTTGCATAGTATATTTCTACGATGTTGACTACCATATGCAATACGTCACTTGGCCAAGGTGAGTTACCCACAAACTGGGAGGATGCAGCTGTCACTCCACTACACAAAACAGGATCATGAAAACTTTCATCAAACTACACACCTGTCAGCCTCATCAGTATCGAAGTGAAAATAGTCGAATGAATAATCTAAAATAAAATATTGACATTCATGGAAACCAACTTGTTAAACAGCGAAAAACGCCGTTCCGGAAAAGGTTTATTCTGCAGAACAAATCAGCGTATGACGAGAAAGGAATAGATAGAGGCTCTAGATAATGGAAAATCAGTGCATATTGGCCACATAGACTTCAGCAAAGCATTTGATAGGGCGCCGAATCATAGACTCCTTTTGAAACTAGAAAGTCTAGGAATTTTATGACCTTTGTCAAGGTGAATTTGTTACATGTGGATTTCATGAAGACTTCAATGTTCTGATTAACCAGTCTAAAAAGGCATGGTACCTATCATTGTCTACTTGCAAACTGGATACACAACGCCTAATAGGTACAGCGTGGGAGGAGAGACGATGCAAATATTCAGGTATTTCAAGGATCTTGGAGCGAGAGTGAGCCATGATCGTAAGAACACGACCCACTGCCATGAGGTCGCAAGTATGATGTTGAAAACTCTACGAGCTTTACGTCAGACATTTATCAATGATAAACTATGTTCACCACAGTATATACAACATTAGTGAGATTCCAACTTGAGAACTGAGTTCAGACTGCAAGATCCTGTATAAAAATTGGCTCGGATATACTTGAAAAGGTACAAAGAGTGGATACGAGTGCGATTCCAGAACTCAGAGGTCTACTATCCGGAGAGCGTCTTGAGAAGATGGAACTGTTTACACTGTCCTACCTCGGATAAAGAGGTGATCTGATTACGATGTACAGAATACTAAAAATTGATTTTAGACCTGATATGTCGTCTATTTTTCTTTCTACCAGATTAGGACAACTTAGAGGATATAGAAGATGAGTAGAAAGGACAAGAACGAATCAAATACCTGTGACGAACAGGTTTTCACACAAGGTCAATTCTTTGAATCTGTTTTTCGAAGCAGTACTGTCCTCACCTTCAATTGACTCTCTTAAGAGAAGACTAGACACTCACAGAAGCTTATAAGAAAAAGACTAACATAGGCCATAGACATTCTGAGCTTACTACACAAATCTGAAAAATCTTTTTTCTCGTCGAGTTGTTAGTAAGTAAAACACCTTACCAGAACAAGTTATATCAGCTCCATGAGTGAAATTTTTTTTAAAAAGCTAAAAATTCGCCGGAAAACAAGCTGCAAAGATTAACACAGGTTCATTGAACTATTAACCCTATTACCGAACACCCAACTTTCTGAAGTGTGCGTTACGGTTATGGAAAGTGTCGTATCATCAGTTTATAATTCCTGGCGCGATGTTGCATTTGGTGACTTACAAGTACTTCATGGCAGTTGAATTAAATAGATTTTAGAAAACGTTGGAGTCAGTAGCATGTGAGCTGACCTCCAATCATGAGAAAAACGATATTTCAAGGACTAATTTAGTAAATCAGACTAAAGAGTTCCGAAAATCTGCCTCCGAGGTACAAAAAATGTTATGCTAACTTCAGGTTTAGGATGTACGTAAATATTCTTCGACAGTTATCAAGTGTTACCAATCAGAATTTGATGCACTTCAAAAGAGGTGTAGATATGCTGAAGATGCTTACCTTTCAATGTACAAACAACTTATTGACCTTCCAGGTTCGAAACTCCACTAAAACGATATGCCTTATAGATCCCTCATTCGCACTTGGAGAACTTCATTCCTTACAAAAACGAGCTGACAAAGCTGCAGAATTTGAGTTCGAATCACGGAAATTCAAGGAAAGCTGTGATGAATTAAAAATAAAAGTTCAGGAGCTCAAAAATTACGGTATTTTCCAAATTACGAGTTTATTTTAGAACGCGAAAATAAACGCTTGCAGAAACGTCTTGATGAGTTGACGGTTTCTTTGGAAACTCAAATCCAGCTGAACAGTTCGAAGATAGTGGAAGAATATCAAAGGAAGTTGGAGTTCAAGGAGCAAGAGTTTGCCATCTTTAAAGTTGAAGCGGAGGAGAAGCTGGGTAGCTTTGAATCTAAAAACATAGCAATTTCCAAAGGTATGTTGATGTTGATATTGGATACTATCGATCTGATTAACTCGATACTTGTGACATAACTCGGTTTGAATTCAATTATCACAAAGCTGCTACTGTACACACTTTACCCCATGCTTCATCATCCGTAATTTTGCAAGTCGTATCAATAATTTGGGCGCCAGACAAAATTACATCAACTGTGTAAACAGTCTTTACTTGACTTCTGTTAGTCGCTTCAAAGCTTATGGTGAATAGTTATCGGTATGAGTTGCCTCCTACGATACTCGTAAACTATGTACAAATTCAGTTTTAGTTAGGTTTGTCATGGATATAATTCATGAAATTACATTTCAGTACATGCATATTGCACTCAAAAACAGCTGTGCAACTGTACGGTACTGACATTGTATCCACTAGCCGCTAAGGTATTGGAAGAAACAATTTCTCATCGACTCAAATATTGTCCACAAATTATGATGAGCTATTTTGGCACAACTCGCATGTTAAAATATTATTCTTTAAATTTTAGCACTGGAAATGGCACAATCTGAATTATTTAGGCTTAAAACAGAAGCGAACGCTACAGAAACCGGCAGGTTAATTTAATACTTTATGTTCAAACACTGTAATTCTTTGATAGGTCTTCCGAACTTGAGTTACTTATGGATGATCTTGAGAAATCAAATGCAGTAAGTAGTAGTCCTTATCTTGTATTCAAATTGTCTTTTGTTAACATTCGTATTGGTTTTTAGTGGGAACTTTTGGTATTGAGAAACAATTATCTCGTAGTAAATAGCTTCGTTTCTAAATAATCTTATTTGTAAGTTTCGGCATTTTTAGTGATGAACCTAGCGTAGCGAGTCATGGGAAAATTTTAAGCGCAATCGACCACAGTTCCAGTCACCGATCGATTTGTTTTGTGGTAAATAATCTAATTTTATGCTCACATAAGATACAAGAACTTTTGTTTCACTGAAATCATTTTTAGGTATTCCGCTATGCGGTTGTTTATGTACTCTTGGTTAGGTATTTTAGTATAAGCAACGTAAATAAATATTTCTCATTACTCCACAAACATGGTCTCAGCAAGGATTTTCCTAATAAATGTAAAAAAGCTCATATAGAATTTTTTCGCTAGAGGAAAGTCCTAGTAATGTGAAAATTTCTTGAAATTATATGAGATACATATTTTTCTTCTCATATGCTTCCTCCATTAGATGTAACTAAAATTATGGTTAATACGATGAAAAACTAACTCTAGAAAAACGCTAACCAGAAAAACACAATGAATTGCATCAATTTATTAGCTAAATCTTTCATAGGAACTTGAACGTTTTTGGTGTGACCATCTATCATTATCCTCACACCTTTTTAAATCTTATACATCTACCAAATATTAGTTAGAGAAGAATGTATGCACTGTAGATAACGTGTTGTTTGACATATCTATCTACTTTTACTAGTCTGGTGGCTGATTGTCAACGTTTTACCCGGTAATTCCGACAATTTATGCAATAAAATGCATTTTTCTAAAAATAACGTTAAATTCTATTAATGTCGTATATGGTGTAGTTTCTGTAAATATATGTGTAATCCGACTTTACCCATTAGTCCAAAAATTTAAATAGTCCGGAAGTTTAAGTGTTTACTGAGTTATTATGATAATTAGAAGTAATTGAATTATCGTATGAACTAATAATCCCAGAAATAACGTAATTGAATCAAGAACTACTACATAAGCATGAACGAATGTACTGTACAAAGGAATCATTAGTTCATTCAAACACCACATCCGCCACAGCTTAAATCGGAGTTCAGGTGTCTGTAATTGAATGCACGTCTTCTTCTTAAGTTCATCCTGTCTTTCCGACAGTGTATTGGATAAAGACTCTGTATTATCTAGAATGCACTCATTAGTATTAGAATTAACAACGGAAATCGTAACAGACTCACTTGATTTCGGGGATTGTGAACAATCACCATGCCGGTTGAGTACTGAAACTACTACCTAGAATATGAACCATAGACTATCCTCCCCCACGAAATAATGTCGGATCTTCATATCCCCAAGTTATGAATAATGTGGCTTCATTTAAAACATCTTTCTCAATTTGACTGGAGTAAACATTGGAAGTGAATTTATAATAAGGATAAACAACAGTTGATATGGAATCATCTAAATTGTAGTCAGAATCGAGCTCATTTAATACTCGTGCTTCGCACTGAACAAGTTTCCCATAAAAAACAAATACATTATGAGGACAAGTAATATTTAATATGACATCAAGATTTGATACTTCTGAAATAGTTTCCTCAAATTTATTAAGAATGTCATTGCAGAGCAAAGGATCAGAAAAATCAGCATCAATCAAAACTACATCAGATTTTCGATCATGATTAGGTTCATCCGAAATATTCTGACCAGATTTGTAAGAAATTTCACCAGAAATATGTGAATCATTAGGAAAAATCATATCTGGTACAATAACATGAGAAATCTGATATGTTGACTCATTAGAAATTGTTTTCTCGCAAGGATTCTGAGTTTCATTTAACTCTGAACTGCTATATGACTCTAAATTGTCTTTTGAAATCGTTGATAAAAATAAATGATCATTATAAATACTCAACTTATTAGGATCAGAATTACAAACTGAGTGAATATGTCCAATATCACCACATTTAAAACACTTAGAATTACGAAATTTACATCAGTCAGTCAGTCAGCTGCAACGTAGGACCAGGCACGTATATGCATCGGTCCAAGTTGCCATACCGCATTAGCACAACAAGATGAACACCGGATTCATAGGAGTAGTTTATTCAGTGGTGGTAATATATAGAAGAAAGATTGTGTATAAGGAGATAGTAAAGGAAGAAAGAATTAGTTCCTAGACAGATATGAAGCGATTTTAATCTCTTAATTTAAGGAAGACAGAGAGTGTATACACCGACGCCATTGTGATCGATTCTGAGCCATGTCACCAAGAGTCTCCAACCATTGGTTACGATAGTCACGCGGACCCCAACCAGGCAGTCTGAATCTCCCAACATGACTCAGACCAGAAGTTAGTGACTTCAAGCACTGATGCCACGTTTTGGTTTGGCCGCCCCTAACTTTCTTCCAATTATCCCCTGCACTAGTCAGCATTGCGCGTCGTGGTATATTACATTTTGTAAGTGGTAAGTCTTTATCGTTAAGTAAGTTCTTATAAATCCCATGGGTCTTCAGCTTTCAGTCCCCGTGACTGAAAAACCGACTGTTGGTATGCGGACTTCTCTTTAAGGGACCGACTTTTTTCTAACGACACTAGGTTGTTTCTTATTCATGACTTATACGCGTCCATTAGCTTTCACCAGAATAGCAATTATAGCCACGTTACACACACCATGGAATCCTAGATGAATATGGGTGACCCTCATGGTCAGGTCACTTTTTTTTCTAGAAACAGAACTAACCATACGGTTAGGTTTTCTAGGATTTCCTGACAGCTGCCACTTGGAGGGCTGGGAATAGAATTGAAGAGGCTTATTCCTTTCTATTTGACCCCAATATATATCACTCGATTAAGTGGGTACTTTAGCAGGCCGATTGCTTTGGTAGTACTATGAATTTACTCGAGAATATTTAAAAGTTAAAACACCAGTTGTTAGGATGGTATATTGTTAATAATTAACAAAATTCACAAGCACCAAAAAGACAAGCACACCGGAAGGCGGGAGTAAAAGGTCGAAAATCCATGTGTATTTTGTAAGTGTTAATCAATTGTGGGTGAATTGTTAACTACCTTCGTTAACAATCAGTGGGTGGAAAGACAAACAATAAGGTGCAAACTCACACGTACTTTTAAATTGTGAGCTAATTGTCTAGATTATAACAGTCGGGTAATAAAAATTCAAACGGGCTTTCCATAGAAGAAACCTATCTTGAGTTTTATTCCTAGCAGACTTGTCTGAAGTCGGTCCTTCCTCCTTCGGTCCATGTGAGCTAATCAATTCTGAGCTTATTTGAGATAATTTCACATCGATTCGTGTATCAACAGAGCATTTGATCAATCTCGATCGCGCTTGCTAATACACCTTATAGTATCGTTTACGATAGCAATGAGTTGACCACACTTTACGATATAAATGATTTCAATACCTGGAACTGTGTGAGTGCAAACAAATTAACTGCTTCATACAAGCTCATCGGGAAAACATTCCATATTGAGGGAGCAGTGGTACTATTCTTCACTGAGTAAATCTTTTAGTTTAGCTTGTGTCCCTAGATGTAAAGGCTTTTTTAAATTTATTGGTTAGATTTTAAGTTACGTAACATAAAAGCCCCAGCCTTTTGTGATTATTATCTATCGCTTTAAGAGGCTTATAAATAAATTTTCCAGAAAACTCTTTTGCTTATTCTTTCCTCATACCCTGAGAAATCGTTTGTGTTGTCCTTTCTGAGAGCCCACTTGGCAATTTTAATGAAGTTAAAAAACATCTTTGTAGTGAACTCACATGGTATCACAACGTGCGCCCCGGATTCACATAAAAAGTGTGGCAAGCCACTATCAGACCGTCTGTGAAAATCATACTTCTCTTCAAAGTAACTGCTGATTCTTGAGGCGAAAGATGCCCTCAGGCAGACAGCCAGCAAGTGATCAGCAGTTTTCAGTTTTTGAAGAAGTGGCGAGCGTTATCATGACTCCTGCTCTAGATTTAAATGAAGCCACTAAGGTGGGCCCCATAACGTAACGGACGAGAAACATACAGATGTAGACATGGTTACAAGAAGAAAGAAAAAGCACGCTGAATAGAAGCAAAATGTGGGAAGCTGTAAGATATGTGAGTCAGTGTTTCAAGTTCCGGACAAACATGTCAAGCCAAAAAAAGACTATGGAGAAGCAAAGTCTAAGGGGTTTGGATTAACTGAGCAAGAGACAAAATGTGCACAATGATTGGCTTATAGTAGCACCTAGGAAACTAAGTAAACAGAGCGAGGCATGCATTTGTGATGTGAAATCGAACTACTGGAATGAGAAGGGTTTAGGAAGCAAAAGCCCATGGCTTGTTGAAATGAATCAGTCATTTTTCTTAGGGGAGTCTTCTGAAAAGGAACCAAAGGCTAGATTTTAACGCGACCGAAATCCTAATAAATCCCAAATAAGCAAGCTACCTTCGAAAACAGTAGCCATAGGGCTCGTTCATAAGGATAGAAAGTAGATCCTGCAAATACTCAGGAAAACCACCACCTAACACATACTTTCAATTCTGTTGAAGAAAGAAAATCCGGACAAACTAATTGGATTTGGAATATTTATCGGTGTGGATTTCGGCCTGGTTGGCTGTAAAAAGAGACAATCAGCAGAGACAAAAATAGACGGGCGTCTCAAAAACAGCTAAAATTACCTTATACTTGTAAAATTTTGGGGCTAAACGATCCTCAAACCACTATGGGTGGCCGGGAAAGCTCTTCACAGAATTAAAGGTACACTACACAAATGCTCAGGAATGTGGTGAGCACAGAAAATCTTGATGCTATTGCCTCCTCAGAGATATGTTTAACGTCAGAAGTGTATGATTGTAAACTTCGGTCGCTTGGTTTCTTACTTTGTGTGGCTGACTAACTTAACCGTAAAGGTTGTTGGGCTTGTCCTGTGCGCGAAAAGTATCTTAACCCTGCGAGCTATCGAGACAGTGGCATACG